CCGGTGTCCGGCTTGGGCTATATACATTCAACCAAGACCCAGCCTGACTCCATACCAAGATTAGACGGGCTGACTACAGGTCGTCTAATTATGAGCGGTGCGCCTTCGCTCCTTCCCTCCCTGGAGGGGGCCAATTCCATACACAATTCCAATTCAAACCCCTTATGGGCCTACCGCACAATCGGTATCCAGTTCACACTCATCGACGGGGACACCCCAGCACTTACTACGTAGAGGCCAATGATCTCCTGGACAACAGACCAGTGGCGCCGAGACGAAGGGAGGTCCACGCAGAAGTTCAGGGGTGCAGCCGTAGAGAACGTGGGCAAAGATAGACCGTCTCACGCCTCTGCTTCCTAGCCACGGTTAACGACGAGCTTCCCGGCCAATGCACCAAAGATGTTACCGGGAAACTGACGGAGGCCAAGCACAGAGAGATGGACACAGGTTTCTTCAGGAAGGAAGAGATCTTTATTCGATTCACTGACCGGGACTCAGAGGGACTTATGTCACCAAAAACAGCAAAGATCTGAGTACTGAATACATAGAGTACATTCCTTATATAGCACTGTAGCTTCTCCCATAATTAGCTACGCCCACACATACCCTTAACCTAATCAATGAATAGAGTCTAAACTCATCCATCCGGTCTAACCACGTGGCTCATCTGAAACAAAGAAGAGGAACGCGTAATTCCAGTTCCTGCATTCCTGCACATGCTCAGTACAGTGATGACAGTATCTTAGCTACGTGTAACTAACTAACTGATACTACAAACACATGTACCTACATATGCCTTGTGGCAATCTTGGCCTGCTAAACTTGTATTTTACTGGAATTCCATCACAATATAGCAAGTAAAATATAAATAACTGAACAGGATAAAGAAATGAAAGTACTCACAATAGTGATAAAATAGCAATTGTAATATAAAAACACAGGAGCTGCCCGGCTGCCACTATAACTAAACCCCGACTTGGATTTCTGGGAGTTGGTGGCAGAGCAGCAAAATGGCCCTGTGCGGGGGATAAAGATCCTCAAAGACGCCCCTGAGCCCCAATTGATGGTAATCTTTGGGCCAGGGAGGTCAGAGGGGAAATAAATTATCAAAGGATATATAATAAAGCATATAACTGAAGCAAATTAAGTTAAAATGAAGTAACTAAATATATTTATAAACATGAAAATATTATAAGTAAAATGTAATAACTATAATAACTATATTAGGCACAGTAATGATATGAATAAAGTAAAGTAAAAGATCCCACAGTTAAGAACCATGGGACCCAGTGTCACTTAACTGAGGGAGCAGCAAAGACAGAGGAAGTACTATACTGGACACTGCCTATTATATTATAAAGAGGATGCTGATTGGCTGTTGTTGTGGAAATAAGGTCTGCACATATTTCCTAGATAGAGAAAAATGTCTATTTACTCATTCCACGATATATATCACGTATAAAGCTAAACACACATATTTTAATCAAGATGGCTGCTAGAAGCTTCTAATCCCTCCTTCCCCCTCCCTTCCCCTCCTAACGTTGACTAACTACCTCGTGCATCAAGATGGCGCCGGGAAACCGTGGGAGACCCTCATGATCCCGGTGACATCACCTACAGTAGGCAGAGCATTAGAGCAAGCACTTAACACCTAACCAATTATTGATGTATTATTCCATGTTATCTCTGACAATGCACATGATGTAATTTTGCTTTAAAAGGGACTTGCCGTCCCCTCTGAATAAACATTCCTCAAGTTATTCAACAACCTGGAACCTGTGTCTGGTGTGAATTACTTCAGGGAGCGTGCACGCACTGTTTCATTGATTTGGCCAGGGGCAGATACACAAAGAAATAATCAATACTTTAATTGATTTTTCCCATTTCAATTGGCGCCCAACGTGGGGCCACCGGAGCGCCGGTTCGGAGGGCCGGAACCAGCGGACCGGAGCGGACCTCCGGAAAGTGGGACAAGCGGAGCCTGATCACCTCCATAATACAGCCGTTGCCTGTGTTATTTTCCTGTTTTGTGTCGGTCTGCCTCCGAGTCCACTTCCGGCTTCCAGAAGGCTACTAGAGACAAGTAACTAACTCATCCGGTGTGCCTTTTTAAGTGAACCTGTCGATTGTCTATCTGCCTCCTGTATTCATAATATGTGTATGTGTGCTCCTTTTTCTATATTTTATGTTAGCTTGACTGCCTAGCGGGCAGGGAACGCATTACAGCCGGTGGGGCTGGGATTTTATGTTAGCTTGACTGCCTAGCGGGCAGGGAACGCATTACAGCCGGTGGGGCTGGGATTTTATGTTAGCTTGACTGCATAGCGGGCAGGGAACGCATTACAGCCGGTGGGGCTGGGATTTTATGTTAGCTTGACTGCCTGGCGGGCAGGGAACGCATTACAGCCGGTGGGGCTGGGATTTTATGTTAGCTTGACTGCCTAGCGGGCAGGGAACGCATTACAGCCGGTGGGGCTGGGATTTTATGTTAGCTTGACTGCCTAGCGGGCAGGGAACGCATTACTGCCGGTGGGGCTGGGATTTTATGTTAGCTTGACTGCCTAGCGGGCAGGGAACGCATTACAGCCGGTGGGGCTGGGATTTTATGTTAGCTTGACTGCCTAGCGGGCAGGGTACGCATTACAGCCAGTGGGGCTGGGATTTTATGTTAGCTTGACTGCCTAGCGGGCAGGGAACGCATTACAGCCGGTGGGGCTGGGTTTTTTATGTTAGCTTGACTGCCTAGCGGGCAGGGAACGCATTACAGCCGGTGGGGTTGGGTTTTTATGTTAGCTTGACTGCCTAGCGGGCAGGGAACGCATTACAGCCGGTGGGGCTGGGTTTTTATGTTAGCTTGACTGCCTAGCGGGCAGGGAACGCATTACAGCCGGTGGGGCTGGGTTTTTATGTTAGCTTGACTGCCTAGCGGGCAGGGAACGCATTACAGCCGGTGGGGCTGGGGTTTTATGTTAGCTTGACTGCCTAGCGGGCAGGGAATGCATTACAGCCGGTGGGGCTGAGATTTTTGTCTGATTATTGTAGTATTTCCGTTGGTACCAGTGTTTTGCCGGGACCAGCCTGGTGGGTGAAGGCTGGAGATTGTTATATTCTGAATATCTGACACCGGTGGTGTTAACATGTACATGGCCATTTTGCTCTCTATCATTCTGTGGTTTCTGTTTAATTGTTGTTACAGTGTGGGTACCCTCGGTGTGTGTGTGTGTATTGTGTGGTTAGTTCTGGATTCCGGAGTTTACGCTCATTTGTATGTTTGTGATTTTTGCAAATGTCTTCTCATTAGCGCAGCCACGTTCATTTTCTCCTTTGTTCTTTATCTTTCCTGTGCCTGTTGCCCAGAGCTGTGTTAGTCACCCACGCTCATTCGCTCCCGTCCGTGACCACCACCCCGGGTGGGCGGATCCCTGTGACTAGTCTACGTTTGGGGAAGACGCACGGAGCTCAAGCTCTCGTGGCAGTCGAGCACTGTAGAAATTCTTTTTCCTTTCCCCTCAGTACCTCCTCTATCCGTCTGTCTTCACCACGTGACACGCTTTGTCCATATAAGATGGGGCAGGAACATGCTAGACCTGCTAAGGGCTTGTTGGCTTGTGATATTGTAAAAGAAAGGGCAGGAGAGGATGCAATGTTGAAACTTAAAAAGATTGCCAAGGTGTGTGGCTTCCAAATGTTGCCTAGTGGAAGGTTACAGCCTGAGTTTTGGAGAAAATTGCTCACAGACAAGGAAGGTTTGTTGTTGGATAACGGACTTACTAAGGTTGCAGAGGCTTGGTATCGGGTAGCTAGAGGGTTGAAACGAGAGGGATGGGTCGAGGAAGAGTTGGAGTTTGAGGGACAGATTGTATATGTTTACCATAGGAATGCTAACAATGATGATGTTGTTTCTATTGTCCCACGGCCACCGCCCTATGATGGCGCCCAGAATGCAACTTCAACCTCCCGCCCTGCTTCCCCCGTCACAGCAAAGACCACACCCCCCGGAGGTGTTCCTTCAGCTCCCACTCCCCTTTGCCCCGTGCTCGGCGCGGATGGTGCTTACTATTTCCCGATGCCACTCCACTCGTTCCCACCCACTCCCATGCATCAGCCCTCCTGCAGCCCCGCCTCCTCCTCCTCCATCATGCCCGTAGAAACCCCCCCATCTCCCTTGTTGTCTCCCCCTGTGCCTGTGCTTACTCCAGCTCCTCGTCAAGACTCTACCCCACCTGTTCCCGTTTTGCCTGTCGATGCTTCCTCCTCCTCCTTCTCCTTCTCCTCATCAACCCTTTCCCCATCGAGTACCCTACCCTCAGGAGTGATGCCCGTTCCCTCACCCTCCTTGTCCGATCCCTCGACCCTTGCCCGTTCCGCTGATCCGGACTCCTGTCTGCCCCCGGACCCTCCTTCTCCCGTACCTCCGGACCCAGACCTCCCCTCCCTCCTCGCTAGCCTCTCGAAGGTGCTTGCTCAGCCCGTTAACCCCAGCTCCCTAGCCCCTGCTCCCTTACATTCAGACGCCCCTTCTACCCTCCAGAACCCTCCCGCTAACCACGCAGTGTTACCTCCTCCCGAAGTCCCGGCCCCCTCTACCCCATTGTCCCCTCCTCCCTCGGCTGATTTGCCGTCCTTACTCTCTGCCCTCACTGCCCTGACCCAACCCCCCGTTACCGCCCCTTCTCCAGTGTTACCTCCTCCCGAAGTCCCGGCCCCATCTACCCCATTGTCCCCTCCTCCCTCGGCTGATTTGCCGTCCTTACTCTCTGCCCTCACTGCCCTGACCCAACCCCCCGTTACCGCCCCTTCTCCAGTGTTACCTCCTCCATCGGTGGCTCCCGACCCGTCTGTGACCAATGACCTGCCTGGTTCAATCTCCGCCCTCTTCTCTGCCGTTACTTCCCTGGTTAATTCAGCGATTCCTACTCCACCTCCCACTGATTTGCCTCCTCCTCCTCCTCCTCCCCCTGAACCCCCGACCCCTCCCTCGTCTTCCGCTAATGTCCCCGAGCCTTCCGATCCAATCACTGCCCTTGCTCACGTCCTGAACACCCACCTCTCACGCCCACCCCATCCGGCCCCCATGACAGCCCCCTCCACGGCATTGGTCCCTCACGCCCCTCCCGCCAGTCCCAGTTACCCAATCATGGTGGTTGGGTCCGAGGTGTCAGTGACATCGGACCAGCCCTATGCGATGGGTGCCTCCCCCCAGGCCTCGGGCTTCCACCCAACTACCTCTCCCGCTGCTGGCCTCCCTATTACAGCCACCCCTGAGACCACCCTGCACCGCGGCCCGGTGGTGCCCGAGGAGGTCGTTGTTGTGGACCAGGGCTCACCCCACTTAGGGGGGAGCAGACAACCACAACGGCGCTCCATCCCCCAGGGGTATACCCAGATTAACCATGGCGCGGATGGTGCACCACCCATGTATGTTACCTTTAACCCTTCCCAAGCTGCTACCCTTGTGACTTCACTCCCTGATCCTGAGAAGCACCCCATGCCCTTTTTCCGCCGGATGGCTCAGATCCGCAAAATATACTCCGCTGCTTGGCGGGATCTTATAAGTTTATGTGAAATAAAGGCTGGTGATGCATACTGGCCAATCATGGAACGGAGCTTTAGCGATGCTCCTCTTACTTCTGATACTGATTTTCGTTCTGGTGAAGTTTTCTGTGAACAGCTTCGAGCCTGGGCGCAGGATAAACTAGCTGATCAGGCTACTTGCATAAATGATATTCTTCAGGATAAACTTGAGACCGTTGAAAAGTACCACTCTAGGTTGACTCAGACTTTTTCAGATTTGGGGTTCAGCACCTATAACAAAGCACACACTCAGATGCTATCTGCAGCGTTTGTGGCAGGCCTCAAGGAACATATTCGTAAGGGGTTAATCCTAGCTCGCCCTGAGTATAGAATTATTCCACTGGACACTCTCTTGTTGGTAGCCAAGGGTTTGGAAACAGTTTTACAACCCACACCACGTAGAACAAATCCTTTGATGTACACTACCTCCACTCCTATCACAGGTTCTAACCAAGCACCTCAGTTACCCCCCCAACAGTACCACCAACCATCCCAGACACTGCCTGCACCACTTCCTTTTCCCAGAGACCGAACAATCACAACAATCAGGACCTGTTTTAATTGTAACCAACCCGGACACTTTAGAAGAGATTGCCCACAGCCTAGGGTGTTCCGTCAGCAGACTTCCCGGTACCCTGGTCCCCATGCCACCAGCTATAACTTCCCTTCCACTGGTTATCTCTCTGCCCTACCCCTTCCACAGCTGCCCCAACTTCCCCCTCCTCCACCCCCTCCGCCTCCTGAGTACACCCACTCCCGGCCGTCCACATCAGATGCTCGTGCTTACTCTTCGCCCTCTGGTGAAGGGTATGACAACGATGATTTCCAAGATAGTCTGCCACAGCCCCGCCATGCTGTCCGTCCATCTCGCCCACCCATGCATTCTGCTAACCCCCCTTCCACTTCCCGCCGATACCAGGGACCAGACCAGGCCCATTTAGATTTATTGCAATAGGTAACCGGCAAGCCTGTGTCAGCAACCCCTGCCATGGCAGTGTCTGCGGGGGATGGGGGAGAGCCTTTAGCTACTGTAGTTCTCCCCGTGGAGGGCCACCCAACCACCTTTCTAGTTGACACAGGTGCAGCCCGTAGTGTTCTTAGGGAACAAGACCTGCCAGACCCTTCCTTTTTATCTGACACCGATGTCTCCTGTGTTGGGGTAGATGGTACACCACGCAGTAACCCCTTACTAAACTCTTACACGTAGGATCACACATCCTCTCCCGGTTTGTTGTTTCCTCTACCTGCCCCATTAACCTCCTAGGTGCCGATGTTCTCTCTCGGCTTCAGGCTTCCATTACTTTCACTGCAGATGGCCAAGTCGAGTTGACAACCCCCCTATCACAAAAGGATACCTCTGCCCTCTGTTCCCTCCCCATCCTGCTGAACATAACTGACAACACAGGGAATGCACGGGTCACACACACCCCCAGCGCTCTGGATCGGGTCCCCCAAGAACTTTGGTCTACCGGCCCGGATGATATTGGCCGCTTACATGTACCCCCGGTCCTGGTTCAGCTCCTGCCTGGGGCACTACCCCCCCGTAGACCACAGTATCCTCTCAAGCCAGCACAAGCTGAAGCCATCACCAAGCAAGTTGACAGCCTACTTGCCAAAGGTGCCCTCATCAAATGCACATCTCCTTGTAACACACCTCTTTTTCCTGTTAAAAAGCGAACTGTTAAAGGTCAGCCTGACCAGTACCGCATGGTGCAGGACCTTCGTGCTGTCAATGAAGTCACTATAAAGGACACTGCTATTGTTCCAAATCCACATACCCTCTTGTCCCAAGTCCCACCAACTTCTACTATATTCACTGTGGTGGATTTAGCCAATGCCTTTTTCAGTGTTCCCCTTGACCCTTCCTGCCGTTTTCTTTTTGCTTTCACGCATGAAGGGCAACAATATACATGGACTGTTATGCCACAGGGTGCTCAGAACTCTCCCACGCAGTTTGCTCATGCCATGTCTCTTGTTCTGGATCCCTGGCAGAGATCTCATCTGGATGTTGTTCTACTTCAATATGTTGATGATCTACTTCTCTGTGCTCCTGATTTGCTCACTGCAGAGCGTGACTCAGAAGACCTCCTGTGTTTCCTCGCTGCAGCAGGTTGCAAAGCTTCAAAATCGAAACTACAATGGTGCCGGCCATCCGTGGTCTTCTTGGGACACTGCCTTTCCCATGGCACCAAACATCTGACTTCTCAACGTGTGCAGGCCATTCTGCAACTCCCTCTACCTGCAACACATCAGACTCTCCATGCTTTTTTGGGTCTTATAACATACTGCAGGTCCTGGATCCCAGAGGCATCAAAACTTATGCAACCACTCTATGATACCCTCAGGAGTGAGCCCTTCCACCTTACTGAAGAAACTATCACCTGCTTCCACAACCTGAAAAGAGCTATTGCCTCAGCACCTGCCTTGGGCCTCCCCAACTATCAACTTCCTTTCAATCTATTCGTCTCTGAAAAGTCAGGACATGCTTCCGGTGTTCTCACTCAGAAACATGGGTCAAGACAACGCCCTATTGGCTATTTCTCCTGCATGCTTGACCCTGTTGCGAGAGGTAGCCCCTCTTGCCTCCGAGCGGTGTTTGCCGCCAGCGCTCTCCTGGACAAGACCAATGACTTTGTTCTTGGCCATCACCTCACCGTGTTGGCCCCTCATGACATTACTGCCATCCTGCAACAAACCCAACCAAAGCACCTTTCCTCCCAACGCCACCTTCGCCTACAGACTTCCTTGCTCCTACCTGACAATGTTAAGCTTCAGAGATGTCTTTCCCTGAATCCTGCCACTCTTCTGCCACTTCCCAAGGGGGGAATTGTTTATCATTGGTACAGCCTGGATATTAACCCAGAGGTTCAAGCAGACCTACAGTTGCCTGTACTTACATCCCCACATGATGAACAACCAGAGGCCCTACTCCACTGCGCATTGTGGTTTAGGGATGTACCAAGCCCTGATATGAACTATGAGGAAGAACTATTCCAGCTCAAAGAAATTCAAATTTCCCTGACTGATTTATTCTGGGACTCTACAGGTACAATGCTTGTCTTAGTTTGCCTCCCAGAAAATGTAACACACCTCTATCACCACTGGGATACAGCTATTCCACACATATCTCTCACCAGATCCCTCAACACCTCATGGAAAGACCTAGGCCCGATGGCCAGAACATGGAAACAAATGACTCAAACACAGCTAATTTCTGCAGGGATCAATAAAAAGACCATTGATTACTGCACAACAGGGTACCCCAGGTACCACACAGAGGCCTGTGAGGACCCACTTACCGCGGATTGTGACTTCATTGATATCCCCCATGACTGTTTTGAACAAATGAAGATGGAAACTACACACCTACCAACTGTTTATGAAGCTGCATTACTTAATCCGGATCAAACATTATTTGTGGATGGCTCAAGATTTGCTGATGAACAAGGACAGTATCACACTGGATATGCAGTCACCACAGGATGTCAAGTATTACAAGCAGCTGCTCTACAACCAACCAAGTCTGCCCAAGAAGCAGAGTTAACAGCTCTCACCGTGGCTTGCAAACTGTCTGAAGGTCTACGTGTCAACATTTATACGGACTCAAGATATGCTTTGGGAGTGGCCCACGACTTTGGTTTAATTTGGAAGACCAGAGGATTTCTTACAGCTACTGGTACTCCAGTAAAACATGGGGCAACTATTGCAGAACTAATGGATGCATTGGAACTTCCAGCAGAAGTGGCAGTATTGAAAGTAAAAGCCCACGGAAAATTGGATACAGAAGAAGCACGTGGAAATCACTTGGCTGATCAGGCAGCTAAAGAGGCAGCGCGGCAAGGGTGGGAAGTGGACAGAAGAGTGGCCACAGATGCATTACCTATCTACACTATGCAAACATTGCCTACTGACCTCAGGCTCCTGAAGGAACAACAAGCAGCTGCTACCCCACAGGAGAAACAAAGTTGGAAAAACAAAGGAGCTGTACTCCGTGATGATGTTTACACTATCAATCTCAAGTTCTGCCTACCCAGGAACATGTATCCAGCGGTGGTCCAATGGGCCCATGGGCCAGCCCACCTGTCAAAACTCCTGATGAACTCGCTGATTGACAAGTATTTTGAAGCACCAGGCATCACTACTTTAACACAGAATTACTGTAAATCTTGTACTATATGTGCTAAATGCAATCCTGGAAAAGTTATAAAGACTGCACTTAACCACCTAGCTAAACCACAATACCCCTTCCAGAGGGTTCAGATTGATCACATCCAGATGCCAAAAAGCGGACGTTATGAATATGCATTGGTTATAGTGGACATGTTTTCAGGATGGCCAGAGGCCTTCCCAGTGACCAACCTCACCGCAAGAACTACAGCCAAGTACCTTCTGACGGAAATTGTTTGCCGCTATGGAGTTCCAGAAGTGATTGAAAGTGACCAGGGAACCTCCTTTACTGCCTCGCTAACACAGGAAGTCTGGTCAGCACTGGGGGTGACCCTTGCATTCCATACACCATATCACCCACAGAGTAGTGGCAAGGTAGAGCGCATGAATGGCACTTTGAAAGCCAGAATGCTTAAAATGTCACAAGAGACTAACATGCCCTGGCCCGAGAGTCTCCCATTAGCATTGTTTAGTGTGAGGTACACTCCTAGGGGAAAATACAGCCTGTCACCTTATGAGATTCTGTTTGGTACAGCCCCCAGGTTAGGTTGTTACTTTCCCCAACAGCTTCAGATCCAGTCAGATGCTATGGTAGATTATGTGACAGCCCTCTCACATGCCTTGACCAAGATACATGCCCAAGTGTTTTCTTCTATTCCAGATCCTGAGTCGAATACAGGTACACACAAGCTGCTTCCGGGTGACTGGGTTATGGTTAAGAAGTTTCTCAGAAAGCACACCCTGGAACCGAGATTTGATGGTCCTTACCAAGTGCTCCTGATTACAGCAACGTCAGTTAAACTAGCTGGGAAGAGTTCTTGGATACACGCTTCACATTGCAAAAAAGTTCCTGCTCCAGAAGAGACTGATCCTGTTGAAAAATGAATTTATTATGTGTCTTGTGTTTTCTTATGCTGCTACATCTTGCCTGGGCCCAACAAGTGGCCATTACCAAAGATAATCATGTGTACACTTTTTGGTACAATTCTTCTAATACTGATGTGGCTACATACACCTTTGACTATTGTGACATAGTCACTTGTACATTTCCACAAACACAACATACAGCTATATATAAGGACATACCTAACAAAAAGGATCCATACATTTGTGTGACTGGAGGAGTCTGGGGTCACCATTGTAGTTCATGGAAAGCTGCTGGGTGGAACACAGGTAGACCATGGGGTTACAGACCTCAAGTAGCATTAGACAAACTTGACAAAAATGGGAAACCCTTACTCTCTAGAATGACCCTGAGTAAACCCATAGGGTCAACTCCCATTAAACTCACCTTGAATATAGAACACCCTAGTCCAAGGGATGCAGGGGAGTATGTGATGGGAATGTACTGGAAGGGAGGCGGATCACATAACGCATTAGGGACCTTTTACCTGCAGGATATGCTAAATTCTTCTGACTGGGTGGGAACCACACATATGGTCATTAACCCATTGAAACCACATATCAAGACCCTACATGACATGGTAGCCATAGCTAACCCCACTTTTGAAGATACCATGGCAGTAGAAACAGGGTTTTCAGACACTAATTTGTGGCTAGAATGGATGAGGTACAACGCTAACTCACACAATAAGACTAATTGTTATGTATGTGGAGGTGCCAGACCCCATCTGGGCACAGTACCTCTGAGCTTACCCCCCGAAATAGAATCATGTGTATTGAGTTTGTATGCACTAACTCTTCAACATGTAAAAGATATAAGGATGCAAATAATGCGTGCAAAAAGGCAATTAGACTTGCTAAACTTCAAAATGAAATAATGATAGCTGAAGAGAGCAAAACCAACCCCAAAGCATTTTTTAAGTACATAAATTCTAAAAACCCCCAAAATGAAAGTATAGGTACACTAAAAACTGAAACGGGGGTGTTAATTAATGAAGACCAGGAAAAGGCAGGAATTTTAAATAACTTTTTCTCCTCCGTATATATTAAGGAAGAACCCATGGCAATAGATGTGCAAATGATTGCTACTAAAACGTGCAGAATAATTGTAATTGGTTAACTCAAGACAAGATGCTGCAGCAACTAAAAAAAGTTAATATAAACAAAGCTCCAGGGCCTGGCGGTATCCATCCACTTGTACTTAAGGAACTAAGTGCAGAAATAAGTGAACCTCTGTTTTTAATCTTTCAAGATTCTTTTCTTTCAGGAAGTGTTCCGGAGGATTGGAGGAAGGCAGATGTGGTTCCTATATTCAAAAAGGGTTCAAAATCCTTGCCTGGAAATTATAGACCTGTGAGCTTAACTTCTGTGGCTGGTAAAATATTTGAAAGTTTATTAAGGGATAATATTCAAGAATTCCTTGAGAAGAACATAGTTATCAGCAAAAATCAGCATGGTTTTATGAAGCACAGGTCATGTCAAACTAACTTGATTGCGTTCTACGAAGAAGTAAGTAGAAGTATAGATCAGGGTGTTGCCGTGGATGTGATCTTTTTGGATTTTGCCAAGGCATTTGATACAGTTCCACACAATAGATTAGTGTTCAAACTCAAGGAAATCGGTCTAGATCAAAATGCTTATTCTTGGGTAGAACATTGGCTTAAAAACAGAGTACAAAGAGTTGTCATTAATGGTAAATTTTCAAGCTGGACAGAGGTGGCAAGTGGTGTCCCTCAGGGGTCTGTTCTGGGACCCCTTCTATTTAACATGTTTATAAATGATCTTGAAGACGGCATTGAAAGTCATGTTTCAGTGTTTGCAGATGACACAAAACTTTGTAAAACAATACAATGTGAGCAAGATATTACTTTGCTGCAGAGGGATTTAGATAGACTGGGAGACTGGGCACTCAAATAGCAGATGAAATTTAATGTTGAAAAATGCAAAGTTATGCACTTCGGCGTAAAGAATACACAAGCAACGTATACCCTTAATGGAAACGAATTAGGGATAACAACACATGAAAAGGACTTGGGAATTGTTATAGACAACAAACTATGCAACAATGTGCAATGTCAATCAGCAGTGGCCAAGGCCAGTAAGGTATTATCATGCATGAAAAAGGACATTCATTCTCGGGACAAGAATATAATTTTGCCTCTTTATAAATCACTGGTAAGACCCCATATTGAATATGCTGTGCAATTTTGGGCACCTGTTCTAAAGAAGGATATTATGGCACTAGAAAAAGTGCAGAAGCGGGCTACAAAATTAATAAAAGGAATGGAACATATCGGCTATGAAGAAAGGTTAACAAATTTAAACCTATTTAGTTTAGAAAAACGTCGCCTGAGAGGGAATATGATAACATTATACAAATATATTCGGGGCCAATACAAACCATTGTGTGGAAATCTATTCACAAACCGGACTTTACATAGGACACGAGGTCATGCGTTTAGACTGGAAGAAAGAAGATTTCGCCTAAGGCAAAGGAAAGGTTTTTTTACTGTAAGAACAATCAGGATGTGGAATTCTCTGCCTGAGGAAGTGGTTTTATCAGAGTCCATACAGATGTTCAAGCGGCTACTAGATGCATACTTGCAAGAACAGAATATTCAAGGATATAATCTTTCAATGTAGGGTAATAACTGCTTGATCCAAGGATAAATCTGACTGCCATTCTAGGGTCAAGAAGGAATTTTTTTCCTAGCTTGTTGCAAAATTGTGCTTCAAACTGGGTTTTTTTGCCTTCTTTTGGATCAACAGCAAAAAACAAATGTGAGGAAGGCTGAACTTGATGGACGCAAGTCTCTTTTCAGCTATGTAACTATGTAACTATGTAACTATGTAACTATGTGAATCCTGGAAGAAGGTTTACCCAATCACCCATGGACATGTGAAACCACCTGATGGAGTCACCGTCTACCCAGGTAATTACACATGCTATTCAATACCTAAGAACACTGGTTTGTATCTGGGCAAATTCCCATCAGGATACTGCTCAACTTACCATAGCCCACCTGTATCACTGCTAATGAACCACACAAAGACAATCGGTGATATCTATTGGTTATGTGGTGACAAACAATTGAGGTCCCAATTAGTTGGGCAATGGTGGGGGGAGTGTGCCCTAACCAAAGTCATAATGCCTATCCACATTATTCCAGATGGTAGTCATAACACTTTAAATCTTACACATATATATTCTAGAACCAAACGAGAGGCTCCTATCCGAGGGAGCTTCGACCCCCATGTATATATTGATGCCATAGGTGTGCCTAGGGGGGTGCCCAACGAATTCAAAGCAAGAGATGAAGTAGCTGCAGGATTTGAATCCCTGATTCCAATGATAACTGCTAACAAAAATGTCAATTGGATCAACTATATCTATTATAATCAGCAGCGCTTTGTCAATTATACAAGGGATGCCCTACAGGGCCTAGCAGAACAGTTACAAGCCACAACCCAAATGACATTTCAGAACAGAATGGCCCTAGACATGATTTTAGCTGAGAAAGGGGGGGTATGTAAAATCCTCCCTGAAACCATGACATGTTGCACATACATTCCAGACAACACTGGGCCCAATGGTAAGGTGACTATGGCCATAGAGAAGCTAGATAGTCTTGCAGACGAATTAAAGAAGAATTCGGGAGCCACTGACATATGGGATAAATGGTTTGGGTGGATGAATGGCTGGCAAAAGACCCACTTCCAGGTGGGGACAGCTGTTCTTATAGTGTTCATTATCTTCTTGTTTTTAGCCTGTTGCATACTCCCCTGCATACAGAAATATCTGCAGAAAGCAGTTGATAAGACTGTAGATAACGTGACCCCTACCTTCCTACACCAAGATATCACGGACCTCGAAGATGACACCCCACATACACCCCTACAAACACATCAGTTTAAACAGACAACTGCCTTCCTATAGGGATAGAATAGGGAAAGCATCTGTCTTGACAGGTGAGTCTCA